ACATTCTCTTCAATGTTCTTCTCATGTCTGACATTAGAAACCCACAGAAGACATTTTTTGGCTTTCATAAATTACATACATTTGACTGACTTGTTAAAGGTATTTTTGTTTGCTTTGCCTCTGTCTGTACGGAGCTTTTCTATATGAAAAATAACCAAAAGGGGGGAAAATCTTTTCAAACGGAATACTATGCAAGTACACAAAGTGATGAAATCATATGGAATACTAAGTTGGGATTTGGGAGGTGTCACTCAGGGTCTAGCAGGGTGCTGGCCCAGGCCCTGGGTTCTATCTCCAAAGCAAGGCATGGGGTGGGTGGGGCTGAGGGCTTAAGGGAAAAAGAGATACTTCCCTCCAAGTATTTCTGACATTTCTGAAACTGCAGCCTGGTCTGAGTGAACACTCAAACTGGAAAATGGGGAGTGTGGTCATGACTGAGAACCTTCCTGGCTGCTGTGTACCACACTCCAAAGCATCATGGGAGCCGTTTGTTTTTGTTTTCGTCTTTATGGGGAAGAATCATTACTCCAAGTCCCTCTGGTGAAAACGAACACTGACTGATCTGCAAAGAGAGACTAAGTGGAATGGAAAGATGGAGAAGTCTGACAGCTTCCCCTCTTGGAAGGCCACGGGCTTGTTTTCATTCCCCGTCGTAGGAATCAGAGCAATGCCCGCTGGCATGACATTACGGCAAGTATGAGCACTGGCTGCCATCAGTAAACCCCAACAGTATCAGTCACGTGACAGTTCCGGGTGGGGAGATTTAAGAAAGAGAGAAGACAGAGCCCAGCACTAAAACTTCAAATGGTTTTGGGAAGAGACAGGGCATAGGTAGGGTCTCTGTTGGCCGGAGGAACAGACAACAACAGCATGCTCTTTTAAGTGGTGTTTATCTCTGAAATTAAAGACTCGTGGTCGCCTTCACCTTAGGAACAAAAACCCTGTGGTGAAGGTGTCATGTTAGGTCTCTGGTTTTCATTTTCCATCAACTCGTAACACTTCTTCAAGAGGAGAAAAACACACCTCTGCCTTGGCCTGTGAGTCTCCTCTGCCACCAACAGTGACACCTCATTCTCTAACGGAGCTGTATCCTGAAGCACTTCTGACCGCCGTGATAGTTACGCCTACTACCTGGAGTCCACACACGGCTGGAAAACAGGAACTAGGCATCATGTTCCTTTCAGACACCCAACCTGAAAAGCGAGGCTGGAGAACCCCAGAGCCAGGAGCTTAAAGCGTGGGTGTCGGGGGAAATTACAGACTCTCCCACAAGCATTCCCCCAGCTACCCAGCCAACAGAATCCAGGAGGCACAGAGCACTGTTCATGCTGGAAATAAGGGGTGGAGTCAAAACTGTGACCCAAGGTCAGAGGCCACATGCAGCTGTTATGGGGGCACAAGCATGCTTCTTCTTCACTAGGGCTCTCTGCCTACTTTAGAGTGGCACGGGGACAGGACTCTGATGGCCCACAAAGCCTATTGTATTGACACTCCATAATGTCACCATTATGGACCCTCACCACACCACCCTCAGCAACTGTGTACTAAAATATACCCAAGTAGATGAGACGTGCCAGTGTTTATAGAGAGCTTAGGAAGGGCTAGGCACTTCCCATGCTATGCCTTTGGAGTGTAACTTCTAAGAGATCATTATTAATATACTGAAGTCCACATGCTAAAAGGGACTGAGATGTAACTTATCTATACAAATGGCTACTCTTAAAAGAAAGTAGCGCCATTCCTGATCTGCCTTTAGAACTTTCTTCACATCCACTGCCTCAAGTAGAAAGCAATTTATTAATTCAAACAAGGATAGTTTTTCCCAGGTAGCACAGTGCGACAATGGTGAACAAGACTCTGAAACCAGAGCTCACAGTAACCGGGTGGCCTTAGGTAAATCACTCCAATGTTCTGCTCCTTTGTCGCCTTAACTGTGTGTTCAAAATGCTACTATGACATTTTCCCAGGTAGCTATGAGGATTAAATGAATTAATATGTACTAATATGTATTATTACATACCTTAAATAATGCCTGCTGCATATTTAAAGTTGTTGAATTATACATTCTTACAAAGTGACCAGTGTCAATTTGCTTCCACCTTAAAAAATAACTTGTAAAAATGGAGGGGGGGACTGATGGACAAGTAGAGTCAAGGAGATTCTTCCAGAACCCTCCAACCCAGCAACTTGAAGAGACACGCTGTAAATAATATTCTCTGATAACAGTGTCTGAGTTCAAGGAAACCATGTGGCTTTCATTGGAACTGCAAGAAGAGTTTCCTAGAGCCAGTGGATTTTTCTTTGGGGCTGAGCACAGACATGCTACTCAAAGTCCCCAAGATGACTAAAGTGTTCCACTTCATTAGGGCAGACCCTGACCCCAAAGATAAGCCTGAAGCTCTAAGTATTAAATCGTGCTGTAAAGGAAGGAAAACTGAGGTCCTGAGTTGGGAACTTAGTAGAGTTGTGTTCACAGGGACTTCTTCCATGGGAAGACTCACTTTTGTTTTCTGGAACCACATCTCCCAGCCCTGTTCCCAGATGGGTCATGTGTATGAGTCCCTTTGCTCTGGAGGTGGGAATGTAATGGAGTTTGGCTCAAAATTAGAACACAGGGCTTAATCTAAACCAATGGCAGTCTGCACAAGGCCCTTCTGAGAAGAATGGGGGAAGAACTTACACCATGGGACTGATAATCCCATGACATACAAACCTGTGTTCTCCAGTTCCCATTAGAAAATTTCAAAGGATGAAGGCAACAGGGAAATCACAGAGCTGATGGGAACCCCAAAAGCAGCACCCCCACAGCCCTAGGAGCCCTAGTCAGCCACGTGGATCCCGACATGCCTGGCGATAGCAATGTTGCAGGAGTTCCGGTCTCTCCTGGCTCATTTTCACCCCTGCCTTTATTCTTTTTCCTATATCAACTCAAGTCAGGCTTGTACAACCTGCAAACAAAGTCTTCTGAAAAATACTAGCACATAAGCAAACAGCAGAAAATAAGCAAGCAATATTGCAAGTTGATAGCGGGCACTCCAGTTCCGCTGAGCAAACAGGAACCAGGAGCATGTCATGCCTTGTGCAAAACCACACCAAAGGCTGAGGAGATGGTTTCCAGCTCCCAGTCAGGCTCCTCACATCCTGAGAAGTGAACGGGCGTCTTGTTTGTGGGAGGTAAATCTAGGCCTCAATTCAAATGATCTTAGCTTTTTCTTTTTCTTTTTTCTTTAGAAGTGGTTTGAATTATTCACTCTTCTAGATCCTGAGGCCTAGCCATATCTTAACTGCCAGCTCATAACACATGAACCTATGACTTGGAGATTATTAGGCTAGAAATACTTCGACTGTTAATGAATTTTTTTTTTAAGTGGGTCAAAGTGGGGAACTGGTGATGCATTTTCTGTCCCTAGAGTTGCTGCATGTCACACAACTGATAACAACAATTTTATAGTTCAAGCTTTTATAACCATAAATCATGCTGACTGATGCTTGTCAGCCATCCTTAGAAGAGTGAAATCAGCAACGTGTTTACTTAGCATTGGTGCCGACAGGAAAATCGGAACTGCCAAGTGTGTTCTGCCCAGCTTTTTTCCTCTCGTTGGATAAATATCATTAGGCAAACGATAGGGTGGTAACAAAGCAGATCCCATGAAGGAGCTACACAGAGAACAAAGCCAGCATCACTTATCTAAATGCTAATAATGTCCTCGGAGACGACCGTTGTGCTCTTGATGTTGATACTTACTAGCTCTTTTGGACATGGCTTAAACGTACACTGACCACAGAACACTCTTGAAGGATCCAATCTGGGAAGCTACAATAAGTTCAAAGCCTTCTATGCATTGATATAACAGTAAAATCTTTACACAAAACTACCTGCAGGTAATACTACAAGTATCTTTAGGGGGTGGCTGCATCACAACATTTGTACCTGGCCCATAAAGATCTGGTCCATAGAGGATGCTCTCTCCGCAGAGAAACCATCATGTGCCCTGATACACAAAAGCTACACACGGTGCATATTAACTAGACGGTGATACTCTGGTGGAGCCTTGAATGAGAATGGTCCCTATAGGCTCATGTATTTGAGTGTTTGGTCTCCAGTTAGTGGAATTGCTTTAGAAATATTGGGAGATGCGGCCTTGTTGGAGGTGTGTCACTGGGGGTAGGCTCTGGGGTTTCAAAGAGACATGAAGCCTGGTGTCTCTATGCCTGCAGATCAGGATGTAAAGGTCTCAGCTACTGCTCCAGCACCATGCCTGCCTGTTTTCTGCCATTATGACCATGGACTAATCTTCGAAAACTGTAAGCAAGCCCCCCAATTAAATGCTTTCTATTAAGAGTTGCCTTGGTCATGGTGCCTCTTCACAGCAATAGAACACTAAGACAATTGTATTCAGTACATTGGTCAAGGATTCAACATATTATGCAGAATCGATGCCAAGAATGCAGGGCAGCTAGGTCAGATTTCTAACTACTGGACAGCAGTGGTGAGGGAAGGGAATTGTGAGATCAGAGGCACAGACATCTACTTCAAATGGAGAAGATGAGCAGCCCATTTGGGCAGAGACTATCAGCACCACAGCTCAAGATCAGACAGCCTGAGTTTACATCATACATTCACCCACTTCTCCTGGTGAGGCGAATGATCTGAACAGAAGCCACCCAATACAGAGAGGTAAGAAACCAAGATGGCGGCACTGTCTCAGGAATCCATGCCAAAGAATGGGCCCAGCCACTGAACGACAAAGGACCAGTCACTGAAATAACTGAAGGGGAACACTGGCTTTCTCTCTACCTCTGGGTTAGTCGGGAAACCTGACTGCTGTTGGTGCCTTCCATTTGGGTCCCCTTCCCTTTAGGGGACAACCACCCAGGGACGATCTAACTTCTTATGATGGTGACTCAGAGGCCACCCTCTGAAGGGCTGTGTGACCCTCGAGGGACAGCAGGAGGGACAGCAGGGGGGACAGAGAAGACACACGGCAGATAATCCTTACTTTAGAAAGGCTGGGAAGTCGTCACAAACGGCTTCACATCCTGGCCACTTGCATACGCCATGTCCGTACAGAGGATGGCTGTGGGGGTGCTCCTCGTGGGACAAGCTGCAAGAAAACACACAAGGGGGGAGAGTGAGTAAAACACAGCCGGGAGAGTCCACGCGGCCCAGGGAGCACGTGACGAGTCTCACATTGCCGTTCCCCGTGGAATCTAATTAGTCCTGCCCCCGCCCCCCAAAAGCAAGAGTTAAACTCTGAGCTGGAAGGTTATGTTCTGAAAGCATTTAGGTATAATTGCCTGATGTTAAGAACCTCCCTCCATGTGTGAAAAGTATCTGACAGACTTTTGTTTGGAGCAAAGCTCTCTACCCAGACAGGAAAGGCCGCTACAAAACTGCCATGCTTTCCCGAGGGTACACAATATGACTGGAAAACCTGTACTGGATCTGCTGGTCTTGTATTTTCCTCACAGGGACATTTCGTATTTCTTCCTCTCCTCCTCTCTATGAAAACTGCTTCAACAAAATTCAAGTGTCCTCTTTTTAAAAAAAAAAAAAATAATAATTTTATCCAGCAAAAAATACAATAAATAAATAATGCGCAATACTAAAAGATAAGTTTTCAGGGCAAAATCTCCCACACTGATAATCAGCTTAGAATTAACTGGTGGTGGTGGGAAGTTTGTATTTCTCAAGTTACTGACAGCAAGCTTGAGAGTAAACATGGGCAGCAAGGGGTTAACACTCCAGTGGGGTTCCAATCGATGATAAGTAATGATCCGGCCACTGGGATCAAGTCAGGGGATGCTTTGATCTGAGCCATGTGGTGTGCAGGAGGGGTCTGCTGGGCTCTCATGACAAGCCATATTCTCAAACATTTTCTCTATCCATGCATCTTTCAGACAAATGATCTTTATGGTCATTTCAATAACCTTAGATTCCACCTACCAGAAATGTAAAATGAACACCTAGCGTTTGGGTTTGTACTTGGCACACTCCCTTCTCAGTCTGCAACTTCCTCTGCTGCCTCTCCTTAGTTCGAACTTCCAGAGCTTAGTGTGATACAGAGATACACACATACACACAGACACATACACACACAAGTGCATGCGTGCACGCAGCTAGTATCTTATCCTCCTAATGAGATGACTTTTCATCTAGTTCCTTGACCATGTCCTTACACCACAGGTGCCCACTGGAGCTCCTGACCCCTCCCTTATAACCCACCCACAACGAGCACATTCCAAACCTTTAAATCTCCGAGATTCAACGTGAACACACCAAAGAACAACACCTCCCAAAGGCAATGAGGTCCCCCTATGTTTTTAAAAATTATTTTGCTGGAAATCTAGTGACTTGAAAATACCAATGAGGTGCTCTAGCTTTCACAAGGGAAATAAACATGGGAACCAAAAGAAAGATGAACTGTTCGAAAGAGTAATGTGTAAAGGTAGCAGAACCATCTACCTTGTGAGGACAAGAAACAAATTAGAGGATGAGGCTGATGGCAGAGGGCATTCTCTAAGAACAGAGGGTTCAATTCCACTGGACCCAACGAAGGTGTTCATTTACAGGTCTGTGCATGAGCAGCGACAAATCACTGATAATCTTAGAACTGAAAGACTATTTCACTACCACAGACTCCTCACTCACTCTGAGAGCAAAAGCATAATTTATGAAAAATGTTTTTCTTAATGGTTTCAGGAGAATTCCTACCCCACTAATTATTTTCTCTAGCTATGTGATGAGAAGCTAACTGAAGTATTCTAGTTTTTTTATCAGAACACATACACATGTGTATAAATGTATATATAAATAAACATAAATACTGAGAATAAATATCCTAAGGTAGACATAAATACATATTTTTTGAAAAATTAAAGCATGGAGAATTATACTCTTTATATTTAATGTCATTTTGCTTTTTAAACATTTTAAATTTTTATTTTACGTGTATGAATGTTTTATCTGCGTGTGTGTGTGTGTGTGTGTGTGTGTGTGTGTGTGTGTGTGTGTGTATACTATGAGGGTGTCTGGTGCATGCAGAGGTCAGAAAAGGATGCCAAGACCCTCTGGGATTGGAGTTACAGATGGTTGTGAGCCATGTGGGTGCTGGGAAGTGAACCTGGGTCCTTTGCAAGAGCAGTCAAGTACTCTTAACCTCTGAGCCATCCCTCCAGTCCTCATGTCATATCATAAAAATTTCCTCATGTTATCAACTAGTCTCCAAACTTTCAGCTATTGATAGGGATCTTATGCATCTAACTTTAACCATTCCTATAATTTGGATACTCAGATTTGTTATATTTCTTATATTTATCAGTAATGTCAGAGATAAAATTTATTAGGATAAACATCTTGGCAAACACCAGTTTCTACCAAAAGACACATTCAGAGAAACTTAGAACCAACCAACCAATGACACTAAGACTTACATTTCACTAGGAATACTGCATCAGCGGCTCTTGCTGAGCGCATGGTACCCACCGACCTGCATCATTTTGTGTATGTGTGCTGTGTGCTCTTCAGTGCAGAAGCCAGGAGCCTCGTCTATTGAGAATATAAAACCTCCTACTACCAGTTGGGAACTGCAAATGGTATTGAGTCTAGTCAAGAATTCTCAAATTATCATCACAACAGGCACAGCTCACCATGACGCTTGCTGTCCTCCTGGTTTATCTGATGAACTCATAAATAAAAACTATTTCCCTCTAAGTGTTTATTTCTACCTCAACTTGGAATCACCTAAATGACGGGAATGATGACTTAGGTCCTGATCCCCAAAGACGAAACAAGCAACAACCCCGTGCACAGAAACACATATTTAGTTACTTATTTAACTCAAAACACTGTTCCTTATTGTGGAAAGATCACATGCTCTCATTGTCACACAGTGCTGGGCTGGCTGACATGGTATATCCACTCACCCCACCCCACCTAGATATCACTGTTGACATTCTTGTGTGTCACTGCTCTCTTCTGGTGTGTTATTGTTTTGTAAAGTGGCAACAAATGCTGTCACCAGCTTTCCATATGGGCTGTGTAACTGAACACACTGAAATATTCCATTGTCTGAAGAAAATACTTAAGTTCGGATGGGAGAAGGGGTTGGCAGTGGTACCCTGATGGGACCACTGCAAATCTTCAGATACCAACAACTCAACACTAGGAGAGATGTATTGGGAATTAGGGAAACTTGAGTATTTCTGACAACGTTTTATACCTTGACTGCTGACACGCAATTGTGAACAATTGCGTGCAGTCATGTGTACACTAGGAACAATACCAAGTACCACTCAAGACTGCATTGGCAGCCGGCCACTGGCTCTGCTGCCATAGTCAAGCCGCACACCCACCATGGTGCATGGCTGAGGCTGGCTTCTGGCCTCTGGGTCATTCTGCACACACCTCCACCATGCATCCCCTGCCACATCTCTGTATTGGACCTCTGACGTTTCATCAAAAGAATGGAAGAAGGAATATTAGATTTCCACTGCTTTCTGGCTTCTGACAAAAGAGCCAAGAAAGCAAACACAAACTCATCAACTTCAGTTAATTAGAGCTCCAGGAACAGGCTGAAAGACAGTGGGCAAACAAAACTCAGAGCATCTGATGGTGGGAGGCAAACCGAAGACTCATCGTGACACAGACTGACCGTGAGGCAGAGTGGACCATCAGTCTCTGCGAGAAATGCTCATCACGTCTGCTTTTAAGATGCTCGAACATATTTACCCAAAATGAAATACATATTTACCCAAAATGAAATGTCCAGAAGTTTGGAGCAAGTGTTCCTTTTCTTTTTCTTTCTTGGTTTCCTTTTCCTTTCCTGTTCTCCTGCCCCTCTCTCCTTTCTTTCTTAGCCCAGGTGGCTCTGAACTCCATGTTGTCAAGAATAACCTTGAGTTCCTGATCCTCCGGCCACCCTTTGCCAAGCTCTGGGATTACAAGTGTGTACTACAGTATGCCAGGCCCCAGATCAAATGTTCAATAAAATTTTAGTTTGTTTTACTATAAACTCTCAGGTTGAACACTCCCATAGGCAGAGATCACTCATTCACTCCCACATACTGAGCATCTAATACAGTGCTCAATAAATGCTCTGTAGATTTATCAATGAACAGACAGCAAACACCTTGTCCTATTTCATTTTTTGTGTGGTAATATACTCAATATTTGCTTTCTCTTATTCTTGTAGGTAAAGACTAGAATTATGTAAACCCACAGGAGAAAATATTGCTGAAGATACTTTGTATTACTTAATTTTATTCAGACTATGTGCAACACAGATAGATGCATTCCAGAAAAGCCAGTTGATTTCAATCTTCTCTGATAATCCTTGCTACATAAAAACTAAATATAATTTAACACGAGAACAGTGGTAGCGTTTCAGATGTGAAGGAGTCAACGTGCCAGGGAAAGTATAATTACATATAGATATGAACTAACTCCTGACACTACATGGTACTTATCAATGCGTTTACATTTGCTATGGTGTGATGCCTCCATTCCCAATGACATTTGCTATGCTATTTCTGTTCGATTTATTTTTCCGACATTGACATACACCAGCCACAGTCTTTACTTGCATATTGGTGGTAGGAAAGATTTTCTTTTCTGTCAGGGCTGGAGCATGAACCCTGTTCTGCATACTGGACAAGCATGCTACCCTTGAGCTACAACCCCAGGCCTCTTGGAGAAGTTTGGAGACTTCACTTGACATTCCCCAGTTTCATTGCCTAGCCCAAACTGGAAACTGGAATTATTCCTGCCGCCTGCCAGCCACAAGGACAGCTTCTCAAGATTGCAGTTTGCAGGCTTCAGCAGACACTTAAGCTGTGGGTCCCCCTGTGGTGACCGAAGGAAGAGGAATTCTTGTCTAAGGAGACACGTCCTGCCGACTTACATGTCAGCTTTGGGTATCTAAATCAATCCCGCCATCCACAAACCTGCAATGAAACATTTCTTAATGTGAGCGACATGTGCACTGACATGTCTTCTGAGTCTCCCCCAAGTTCATTTTTTTTTGTCCCATCCCAAATTTGCCTACTTTGTCTTTTTAACTTGAATCATTTGTAGCAAAAGCCAACTCACAGTCACCCCTGACCA